CAAGTCTCAAGCATCCCAAGCTCCCCAAAATCTGGAATCTGGGGCAAGGCGTGCTTGTGTTTGTTGAATACCTAGCTGTCCTTCTCTCGGAATTTGCCATGTCTCTTCTGAACAGGCAATCATCTTTGATAGGAAGAAATTGCCACTTTGGGATCCTCTGGACTTACGCGACGACAAATTGACCGATGAGGCCAAAATCGCCGAATCGCAATGCCTATTGCTCCCCACAGGTTATTTGTTTCGCGGAGAAAGGAACGCGGGAGCGCCCCATTGCGGAGAATTGGTGCGTGGGGAGCAGCTTGATGCATTGGCGAGTCAGAGTTGCAGGTCGGATCCGCAGAGAGACGAGGATAAGTAAGGTAATCCCTGAAGTAGGCGAGGTTGATGGGCCGATATTGAAGAAGAGGGCAAGGAGGGATGGTAGCTAAATAGAGCTTGAGCTCTCCTAATGTAAGAACTTGAACTCCTCGAATTCCAGTTTGTGGGTTGCCCAGTCCAGTATCTCCGCAGCCTCATAGATCAAATATTATAAGTTGTGAAATTCGATCGACGGCATTATTATAGCAAACAACCACAATAGACTTTGGATGAAGCAGCCGTCAAAATGGGAAAACCGATTGTTCTTCATCTGGGCGATGACATCCGCTGGAACCACGATGCCTATACCCAATTTGAAGCCAAATTCGACGTTCAAAGGTCTTATAGGTGAGTTGTCAACGCTCTTTGCTTTAACCTCCCTCCCCTAACCTTTTTTCCCCCTTTTTTTCTTCTTCCTTTTCTGGCAAAACTCTACGAACATCACGCTAAGTAGCACAATCTGAACAGCATGAACCGAGACGACTTCAAAGCGGCCTTGCAAACCAAGAAATTCGGCGATTTTGTGGCCTTGTATCGACCATTTTGGAACACTGGGGGTGAAATGGGCAACTGGGACGAGGAGCTAATCTCACTCTTGCCTGACTCATGTCGTATCTTCGCAAGCGCTGGGGCCGGCTTCGATTGGGTCGATACGAAGGCTATGGCGAAGAAGGGTAAATTCATAAGCCTCTTTCACCTTCCTCTTGTATCCCCCACAACTTGCCACGCGACGCTACTAGGAGAAATGTGTGAGACTAACAGAGAATACCTTGATTTCAGGCGTCATCTACTGCAATGCGGCAGCGGCATGTACGGAAAGTGTCGCGGACGTAGCGCTGTACCTTATAATAAGCGCTTTCCGTCAGCTTCCATGGTCCGCGATCGCGGCTCGATCGGCTTCTGTAGACCAGTTCGTAGACGCAAACCGCAATTTGGCCCCCATAAGCCGGAACCCGTCCGGTCACACGCTCGGAATAATAGGCTACGGGCGCATTGGGCGTCGCATCGCTGAGAAGGCGCACCGCGCCCTCGACATGAACATCTTGTATAACGATATCGTGCGCATGCCGTCGAATATCGAGGCAGAGACGCAAGCTGTGTACGAGAAGGAGCTCGAAGGGCTACTGGGTAGAGCGGATTGCGTCGTGGTCGCAACTCCATTCGGTGGGGACAAGCTTCTGTCCGCCCCTTTGCTTCGCAAACTCAAGCCTGGTTCTCGAATCATCAACATCGCCCGTGGCAAGCTGATTGACGAAGCTGCGCTCATCGATCGTTTGAAGTCGGGACATATTGCTGCCGCCGGGCTTGATGTACACGAATACGAGCCACAAGTCAATCCTGAATTGGCGGCAATGAAGAACGTAGAATTGCTCTCACACAATGCCGGCGCATCTCTCGATTCTCACATCGGCTTTGAAGCGCTGGGCATGCAGAACATTGTCAGCTACTTCGAAACGGGGAAGGCGATCTCGCCAGTTAATCTGCAGTTTTTAGAGGAACCCAGGGGGAGGCCAAGTCGTTTGTAGACCAGTAGCTTACACGGCGGCATCATTAGAGAATCTCTTACTAGCTCTAAAATTACGCTTGCAAGAGTAAGTCACTATAGATCAACAATCCTATAACTAGGTTCTAATAGAACCTATGTTTAGTAGTTGGCCGGGCTTTAAGCAGTACAATTCAAGGGCGGGTTGGTCGGCCGAAAGTGTTTAAGAAAGGGGAAAAAGGGGGTATGAATGAAGCAGAGACAGCATTTTCTGGAGCATGATGAGTAGAGTGTTCTGGAGGTCCGGCGGTTCCATTTTAATACGGTTGTTCTAGTGGAGTCGAGGAGCCGATTTCAAACCGGAGCACCGGCAGTTACAGGGGAGGCAGAACCGGCGGGATCGCTGCACCGCTACAATGAATGAGCAGGGGCTTTGGCACCGAGTGTAATATTGCTCCTTATGGGAGTTTTCGTGGGATCCATTTATGATCGTCGCTATTTGTGTCCCCTACTCCTGGTCGGCAGTTTGTCTATAGTCTTCGGCCACATGATACTCTTTGCATGGAGTACTGGCAAGTTGTCTTGACCCAAGGGTTTGTGATAGGCATCGGTGCAGGATGTATTTTTGTGCTTTGAATCTCCCTCGTTTCGACGTATCCAGTACACGCATGGGCCTAGCACTAGGTCTCACGTATTCAGGCTCATCGCTCGGTGGCGTCATGTATCCCGTCATGCTCTATCGTCTCCTAGGACCCCTCGGCTTCACTTGGTCTGTCTGCGTCTTGTGGCACTCGGGGGCCAGCTTATTCCCCTAGCAGTCATGCGGGTGCCCGTCAGGCAGCCTAAGGCTCGGACCTCTGCTGACTGGACTGCTTTCGCTGATTTGCCATGTATGGTTCTTGTTTTCTCTATATTCCTTGGTATGATTGGCATTACAATCATTCTATTCTTCATTCTTTCTATTCTGAAGTACAGGGCATTCTTAGCTGGGAGTTGACACTACCTAATGCACGATATCCAGGGCGTGGCATTTTTGCAGATGTTTATGCCACAAACTATCTAGGCGCGAACCCTTGTACACTTCAAGGCACACGCCAGGATTACAACATTCCTTTAAGGGGACGCAAATAAACTGCACGTTACACACTGATTTGAGGCATAAGTAATTACTCTATACTAATTCCAGACCAGCTTCTAATATGAATAGCTTGGTAAATATTGCCAATGCATAAGCACCTATCCAAACGTCACATTCCCGAGAGTTGAAACCTATTATACTCCACCAGAAACCCTACATACTCTGCAACAGGCGAGTGAGATATCACGGCATTTAATTTATCAAAACTCAAGCTAGCAAGCTAAGCATCTAACTGCTAGAGAGGGCAATGAATATAGAAAACTAGGCTGCTTCGTGGGGGGATTGCGATAGTGCTGCTATATCATGTATCTATGCAACGCAATGCGTTGGATAGGCCGCCATATTCCAAATGATAGGAGAGCGGGGGAATAATGTATTAGACGTACATTGCAATTTTTAGTAGACAAGGTTAGCTTACACGTTCTGTCAGTTACATGATGTCGGCCGAGGTAACATGTAGTGTATATGGACATTAAAACAGATTGTTCTTTTTTTCTTTGAAAAATCTATCCCATGATGATGATGTGGTACCTGTTATGTGCCCCATCTAGAATCTCAACCGATGCCTAGACTGAGCGAGGGCTCCATTAACACTTGCTCAGAATGGCGACGGAGCACCAATCTCCGCCCTCGACCGACTCTGTAGTCTGTCCTGGACTAAGGGAGCCACGGGGTCGACGAGAGCGGCCATTTGTCTTGATGGATATACATCTCCTCTCACTTATTCTTGGGCACATGAAGACTTAGACCATTTCTCGGATTCGTGAATTCTCTGTGCATCAATTAACAAGGTATTCTCATTATGCGCTGGACATCTTGGGCACTGTTCGCAACCGGCGTTGCAAGCGGGGCGAATGCGGCCTCGCTAACCCAAGTTACCGAGGACTTCGGACCAAACCCCAGAAATGTCGGTTTCTACATCTATGTGCCGGACAAGCTCGCGGCAAACCCTCCAATCTTGGTCAATCCCCACTGGTGTCACGGCGATGCGAAGGCGGGCTACGCCGGATCGCAATATGCGACCATGGCATCGCAGTATGGGTTCATCGTCATCTACCCGGACAGCCCTAATACGGCTGACAAGTGCTGGGATGTGTCGTCGAATGAGACTTTGGCGCACGATGCAGGCGGAGACAGTTTGGGAATTGTCAACATGGTGCGCTGGACACTCGACAAATACAACGGGGACCCGAAACGCGTATTCGTCACGGGCGTGTCGTCGGGGGCGATGATGACAAGCACGTTAATCGGGGCCTATCCGGACGTCTTCGCCGCCGGCTCCGCATTTGCCGGTGTTCCCTTCGGCTGTTTCGCCGGGAACGGATACGGTGTTTGGAGTGATGCATGTGCGACGGGGAAAATCACACACACGCCGGCGGAGTGGGCAGCGTTAGTTACGGCGGCCTACCCCGGATACAGCGGGTGGCGGCCGAAAATGCAGATCTTCCACGGCACAATCGACGAGACGCTCAATTACACGAACTTTGGGGAGGAGGTCAAGGAATGGAACGCTGTCTTCGGCTACTCCCAGACGCCCACCGGCTCGACCCTTAACACGCCTGTCAGTAGCTGGACGAAGTATGTGTATGGCGCAAACGACTGGTTCGAGGCCTACAGCGCTGGAGGCGTGACACACAATATCCAGAACCAGGAAGCCGTGGTTATGTCTTGGTTCGATCTGGCCTGTACATCAGGGGACTGCTTTAGCTGGGGTACAGGTGGCCCCTGATTCCACAGCAGCTAGATAGAGAGTTGTATAGAATGGGGAATTGCTTATTGATATCAACATTCCAGTTACTGTCATCGAGCTACGTGGAGAGTTTATGTCGTAGGAAGAAGAATGGAGCGTAATAATTGACTTACGAACCACCGTGACCGGCAATATACATACTATCCGTTGAACACACTAACCTTGCTGTGTACCTGCTTTATCGGAACATCCCAAACCATCCATCTCGATAGGACTCTGAGCAGGTAAAAATATGTTTCAAACGTGAAAATTCACAGACAAAACTAAAAAGATGACCTCGCTGGGGGTCGAACCCAGAATCTCCTGATGCCTCGAATTTCTCGAAATCGTCTAAATTTCTCCAATTCTTCGTAGTCAGACGCCTTGCCATTGGGCCACGAGGCCAGTTTGTTCAATGAAGGCCGGTATCCGAAATATTGCATAAGTATTAATAATAAAATTCTTTTTTTCTTAGTGTACCAATTCTAGGGTTAGGGTTAGGAGGCAGCTGTGCCACCGCAGCCACAAGAGTCTACAGTTCGAGCCAAAGACTTGGCACTGTTCAATTATTTTAGTAATCCCAAAGACTTCGAAACACCGCCGCTTCCACAAAGCAAGCCTGAAGCCTTATTCGCGTTGTGGTTGTGATCGACAACTCGGTTAGGTGACAACATGGGTGTCTCCGAGGCCACCTAGATCATCGTGATATAAGAATCGTCATCACATCGGGCGCTTGTCCAATGCCGCAGCAGTAGCAAGAGCTGCAGCGTGATAGAAGTTCAAAGTTTCTTGTCAACTGCAATCTTATCAAAGAAGACCAAGAGCTTGGGGCTAGCTTGATATTCTTCGTATAATCGGTCTTTCTAATACTGTGTTGAACCTTTTACTAAGTTGCAGGAGAAATGAGAGTTCATGATTAGAAGCTCCGTAGAAGTCACGGGGTTCCAAGACAGGGACTGGGTTTATTTTTTATAAGCTGGGAAGGTAACGTGTGCCAATCTTGGCCCCCTTCTTAGCCCTTGAATGGTTTCATCCCGGGTCCTTAGAATTCCAATCCTTTCACAAACGACGATTGCGATGACACCTTGCCGTGGCCATACGTAGCTCAAAATTGAGGCCTAAGACTAGCAGACGCTAGTCCTCCTACACACTAATAGATATCCAGCATCTTGATTCGTTATAATAAGAAAGCCATCGGCATGTCTCCGCATCCCGAGATCCCCATACCCCCACGATGCCGTCACGTAGAGCTGAAGAGCTCATCGCCCTTCTTGATAACATTCAACTGTCCGATTGCAAAGATGATTCTAACGGCCATGGCGACCGCGTAGCCATCGCAGAAGCCACGCGACGACTCCTCGCTCGTTTAGAGACTCCCTTTGAGCGCGCATGGCGCTTATCGTGGATCAACGGCAACGCCCATATGGCAGTGCAAGTCATTATGGACGTTGGGATTTGGGAGGCCTGGCATTTGACCGAGCGACGCGACATATCGCTATTAGAGCTTCACGCTTTGGCTCAGATACCGTGTGATCTGATGCTTCTCCGTAAGTTCAACCATTTCACTCTGTTGTTTGATCCAAGTGTCACTGCTGAAATATACAAGGTCGTTTGTTTCGCCTTTTAGCTGCTGAAAACGTCATTGGGGAGCTCGGAGAAGATCGATACGGCGCCACCGCCTTCTCGGAGGCGCTGGGGCAGACAGGAGAGCCTGTCGCACAAACAATTCTCTCGGGGTACGCAACCCGCCCATTGCTCCCTTTTTCGTATGCTGTGCCCCGATTGTTCTAATGCGCATTGGAAAGGACACACCACGGCCTAGATTCAAGTCGAAAGTTACCACAATTCTTGGCGCGGACAGCTTACACGGAGCCCTTAGACCCAAGAAACTCAAGCTACATGGACCTGACGCCAGAGCGGCTGGGTATGTTCGAGCGATGCCGCGCAAACCCAGAATATCAGGCTAGTTTCATCGGATTCATGCGCGGGCTCGCGGCCTATAAGCTGGACTGGACCGAAATATACGATACGAAGATCCTAATGGACGACTTTGACACTAATGGTGAAGCGCCACTCTTCGTTGATGTAGGGGGTGCTCATGGTGTAGATATTGAGCGTCTGCTAAGTCGGTATCCGGACCTGCCTAGCGGGAAGCTCATTTTACAGGACACACCAGACGTTATTGCCATGGCAAAAGTGAGTGAAAAGATCACAGTATTGACTCACGACATCTTCACGCCTCAACCCGTAGAAGGTGAGTAAATGGAATACCTTGACATCGATTCTTCAAACCGAGCTATAGCTATCTCAATCCTAAAGGGCTTCGCATTACGCTTGACTTAACTTAGCCCACGCTATAGGTCGTTCGCATGTGGCTGACATAATTTGCGCTACTTAGGGGCTCGGGCTTACTTCATGCACGCAATCCTCCACGATTGGGATGACTCCGACGCGGGACGCATTCTCAACAACACTGCTGTCGCAATGAAGAGGGGCTACTCGAAGCTTCTGCTCTACGAGAGCGTCCTTGTGAGTGCAGGGGCGACACTGTATCAGAGCGTCGCAGACGTCAGCCTTATGCATTTGATATCCGCAGCTGAACGAACAGAAGCGAGATGGAGGGAGCTTCTTCAGGCTGCCGGCTTTGAGATCCTCAAGATATGGCAGCATCCGTCGTCCTTAGAGAGCGTTATAGAGGCCGAATTAGCATGAAATTGGGAATATTGTGATACTTTCTGATGTTTCAGCAGCCATGCGACAGGCGAACGGACGGAAGCTGATATGTAAATGACCCAATCCGTCATGTCCAGATTGAATGCATGGTATCTTGAGCAATTGTGACCCTGGGTCCCATAGGTTTGACGACTTTAAGAAGAAATAAGAAATGACCTCTACTGACTATCCAGCCCCTTACTACGTGTACATGCTTCCGCTGCAGTCCTCTCAGCCACACACGTCTTACTCACAATTTGATATTTATCGCGATGATAAAATACTCCCAGTTTGGCTGATGGGGCCAAGTCTGTTGGACGTATTTGCCCGTTGGCTAAATCTCCAGAGTCATGCTGGCCGTGGAGAATAGCCCGCCTCAATTAACGGAAGGCAATACATACGCAAGTATATATTGGGATCGCCATTCTCTCCCTAAGCGCCTTCCCAAGATAAGGCGTTCCTCCCACATCGAGTTCACTGCTTAAAAGAGCGTGGTAGGCAGGGAGCACGAAGGGCACATCAGGAAGTTGCGGGAATAGAATAATACCTAGCGAATACTTCCTGTTGCAGCCCAGCATCTGGCCACTGTTAGCAATCCACCAATCGTTTTCTACCTTCAGTCCTCTGCCACGATTGTTACCAGCGACCCAGTAAACCCATCCGCATCGACAGGTTTAATCTTGACGAGCAAACATTAGTCCGTGGATGCCCTGCTAGCAATAAGATATAATACAGGTAAGTATCTCATCCTTTCCAATAATACGGTTATAATAACACACATGACCTGCAGACAGATTATCCAGCTTCAAAACACCTTCTCACAAAAAGACCTTCACTCTTCGCTCGCGTCATGTCAATGGAATCTTCAACCTCAGTGGAATCTTTATCCCCAGTGGGAGAAGCGCGACTGCTCGACAACCCACCACTTCTCGACGACCCACCAACCGCCAAATTGGTAGTTGAGCCTGGTCCCAATGAACGAGCAGTGACGCGTATATTGTCGAAAGAGGCGTTTTGCTGCATAGTGAATAGCGTCTCGGGCGTCAACAGGTATGATGGCACTCGAGTGGCCTCAAATGAACCAACCGAGGATCGGTTCACGCATGGAAGATTCCCTTCACCCTAGAACGACGGAAGCGAATGGATGGCATGGGGCATTTTCGATGGGCACAGTGGCTGGGGAACGGCAGACGTGCTAGAGAAACAGCTTTTACCTTTTATCCGACACAGCCTGAGCGAGTACGAAGAAGAAGAGTTCGTGACGGACTCGATGATTCGGTTAGCTATCACGAGGGGATTCACGAAACTCGACCATTCCATCGTCAAGTCGACCGAGACTGCAGTAGCGAGCCATGAGCCAGCGCAAGACAAGGTGAAGAAATTTGTTCTTTCTTTTGCTGGTTCATGTGCACTACTATCCATATATGATCCTAGCAGAAGGAATGTACACGTTGCGTGCACTGGCAACTCGAGAGCAGTGTTGGGCAAGGAAGAGACATCCGGGGAATGGCTGGCGAAACAGCTATCAGAAGACCAAACCGGTTTCAGCAAGTTGGAGGCTCGTAAGCTCGATCAGGAGCACTACAATGAAAAAATGATCCAAAATGGGCGATTATTTGGCCTCGAGGTCACACGGGCTTTCGGTGATGGCTTTTTGAAATGGCCGCTGTCAGTGACGACTTATTTAATCGAGAAGTGGACTCTGAAAGCATCGTTGGCCGGTGTACGAACGCCACCATATCTGACTGCTGGGCCGAAGGTGACTACTACCAAGATCGACACCAAACCTTCTTTCATAATCATGGCATCAGACGGGCTTTGGGACATGATGTCAAGTAAGCAAGCTGTCGAACTTGTAGCGAAATGGTTGAATATGCGCAAGCCTATGCAGGGGTCTATACGGGAGTCTATGCAGAAACCTATGTGGAAGCCTGTGCAGAAACCTATGCGGAAACCTATGCGGGAGCCTGTGCAGACACCTATGCGGGAGCCTGTGCAGACACCTATGCGGGAGCCTGTGCAGAAACCCTTGCAGAAACTTGTGTGGGATGATATAGAGAAGTCTAAGCGTTTACTTGCGGACCTACCGAACTTGCAAGCGTCAATAGCCGCCAACAACCGCATACTTAGCAGACTCCGTCATGAATTAGCCACAGGCGGCGCAGTAGATGACGACGACGGCGAAAACTCTGGTAACGACGAGGGCCTCGACGACGACTTAGACGTCAGCGACGGCGACGAAGATGACGAGAACTTTGAAGACGACGAAGATGAAGAAGATGACGAAGACACGATTATGAGCGGAGTAGAAAGCATAAAGGTAAACAGAGAATCCAGTCAGGGAGCGCCGGAATATGCGGCTTTCCACTTCGGCCGATTCAAAGATGGAATGATCAAGAAATTCGTGAAGGCGAGGACAACAATCCAAGACGACAACGCCGCGGTCCACTTAGTCCGCAACGCGCTCGGCGGCAACCACCACGAGTTGATAGCGAGTCGGCTAGCCTTCAACAACGGGTCTGCGAGGCACGTGCGTGATAACATCACCGTGCAGGTCATCTTTTTTAACTTCCCCTACGTCTAGACCAGGCGCGCATCAGCTAATTCGCTGATGATATATGAAGTAACCCTACGGACTGCGGATTTGAGTTCCTTTCTCATAATTCCCTACCCTCTACTTTCTATTCCCGCTC